CTAATAGTAATGAAAGTCTTGCACATTCTATCAGTTTTTAGGCTAGATCTTTATGTTGCTGACAAATAATTTCCTGGAAAGCAATAATATGTTTTGAGTTATATGTGGAATACCTTAACCTTAGTTAGCAATGATTTCTGCATCTTAGTAATTACATAGTAACATGCAGGCTATTACGTCAATGTGTGTGTGCTTGTAACAACCCTTTTGGCAGAATCATATATGAACAATTTATTATTTATTAACTATATTTCTATCCTGTCACAATCCAGAAATTTAGCAGTTTACATAAAATAAAATATTTATACTTTAGTTTGATTGAGAAGTGCCTGACAAAAGCTCTTCCATTACATAGTTTGTTTTCTAGCTGATTCTTATACATTTTTTATTCCAATGTTTTGCTTCTTTGCAGATCAAAGCTTTTGATAATATACACTTCCAGGGATCATGTATTGATTTTACAACAGAAGCTGCTGATTTTACATCATTCATGCCACTCTCATTTAAGGTTTTACGGGGATGGTGAGCTGATTTATGCATACTTTTAAAAACATTTTGGAAAACTATTTCAATCTGTTTCTGTGATTTAGTTCCTATACATTTTAAACTGTTTTGAAGTATTTCTCTCTTACAATAGAGAGAACTGATAAGTGTCTTATATAGTTGTTCTTACATGTAGTCAAATTTATACCATATTTAAGAAGCAGATTGTGTAGTGGTCTTATATATGACTACAAACCCTGAGCCTTATACATCATAATGAGGCCTGATGTAACACATAATGTGGTCAGACAAATTGTTAGGCATAACAGAATTCAGTATTGTCACCATTAGTGCCTTCCACCCAAACACTGAATTATATGGTTGATTATGTGTCAGTATATTCTTCACCATTGTAACTGAATCCATCCATCTTGCTGCTTCTCTCTTTCATCTTTCCCAACATTATGGGCTTAACAAGGAAGATGGGTTTTTACATAAGGTCTCTAAAATTAAGCCTGGTCACTTGTGCCTTTTGTTTTCTTAGCTATCCATATAGTATTCTCAGGAATCTTCAACACAAAAGTTCAGAAATGTCAGTAGGCTTTCTGTTTTGTTTCTTCAAAGTCCAACTTTCACTTCCATAGGCTGTTAGAAGAAAAATCATCACTGAGACAATTCTGATTTTAGTAGGGATACACCATAGCATTTGAATATCTTTTCTAAGATTTTCATTGCTATCCTACAAAGTGCTAGTCTGTAAAATATTTATTGATTTCTGGTTCCTTTATTGTTGATAGCTGGTCTTAAAAAGCAGAAGATAGTTTGATATTTTTGATATTTTCATCGTCATTTCTAAGGCTGTTAATTGTATCAGTTATCATTACCTCCCTTTTCTTTATATTTAATCATTTTTTCATTGTGCTTCTTTATATGCTAAACCTTGCAGATAATTTGCATTTTCAGAATAGTGTCTTCAACAAAGCTGATGTTTCTTCCTTCAATTTAAAAACACATTCATCTTCTTTCACTTCAGCTGCCCTCAGTATAGATTCAGCATATAGGTTGAATAAGTAAGGAAACAGTGTATTGCCTTGCTGATCTGAAATGAGTCTTTCATCATGTTCCATCCAGATTGTGGCTTCCTATCCTGTTAGAGATTACACATGATAAGAGTGAGTTATTCTGGAATTGCCATTTCCCCAAGTGCATAACACACCTTGAAGGTTTTTTTTAGAATCAATGAAGCATGTATTATTTTTGCTGTTCTTTGGCTTCTTCAGTTATCCAGCTGAATCAGCAATAATGTTTCTCAGCCTTTTCTAAAACCAGCATAATCTAAAATCTCTCTTTCCACATAGTGCTATAAGCTGTGTAAGATGATTATCCTCTTTATTTTACTAGCATGTGAAATAAAAGATACTGTACGATAATTTATACAAACTGTTAAAGCTTCTTTCTATAGTATTAGTATGTAGACTGATTTCCTGAAATCCGTTGGATGCTATCATTTTCCAGATTTGTTGGCCTAGTTTGCAGTGCAAATTCTTCTTTTGTTGCTTACCATATTTTTTTAAATATTCCAATGATTTCTGCAACATCTGACCTGGTGAAAACCAGAGTGGCAAGTTAATTTCATTTTCTAGTATTAGACATAATCAAAAAATGTCTTCAAAAGTACCACGGATGTTGACATATCTGCCATACACAATTTTAGTATATTCCTTTCACCTTTGTTTGTTGTTTTCAAAATCAAATATTGAAACTTCTTTGAACCAATTATGTAACAATAATATAGTTACTGTGTATTCCATCTAGTGGTGACCATAATATAGGCAGTTTTATAGGTTTTACATTATTTTGCTTGGATGAAGATTACGTTAGCAATGAAGAAATAATTGATTTGTTGGAAACTTCTAAGTTGTTCTGCTTTATTTCTGTTTGCTAGGCCGTATAGTTTAACTACTTTTTCCTTCTTAGTGTTTCCAACTTTGGCATTCTACCTTTCAGCCATGAACAGCAACATTTTGCTTGTATATTCTATCAGTTAAGATTTAACTTGATAAAAGTTGTCAGTCTTCTTTTTCTATCAGTGGTTCAATCATAAATTTGAATAACCATAGTATTAAAGGATTGCCTGAAAAATCTAATTGATATTATTTAGTCATAGAGTTGTAGCCAAGTATTGCTATAATCCTTCCTGACTTTGAAAGCCATGCCATTCTTCGTTTTGTGATCTAAGCAGTAAACAAAATGATCTTCTGACTGAAAGTTTCCAATTCTTCCAGTTCAAGTTGTTGATTCCTAAGATTTGTAATATTTTATTTCATCTTTCACTGTGTTGAGCTTCTTAAGTTCCATGTTCCTACTGTAGTTCTATCTTTGCTCTTTAGATTTTCATTTCCTGTATGTCAGCATTAGCAACTGGATATCATGAGGGCTTTAATCCAGCCACATGATAAACACCATTAATACTCTTCCTCAGTGGCATGTTGAGGGCCATCCAACTTGAGGGACACATAATGCAGCACTATGTCATCAACCATTTTATATTTTTCATCCAGGTGGGTTTTGTGATAAAATACAAAAGTTGTATATTATTGTCTTCTTCATGTAATAAGAAATTATGCCTGTTGCATCGTCCCTAAAGTGATCCTCTGTCTCTAGCATCTTCCTGTATTGCTGCTGCCCAATATAGGTGGCTACTTGCCTTAACTAGGCAGCTGGAATAACTTTAATGCCTTAAAGTTGCTGAGAGTATATACTCTTGGCATATACTCCTAGTATTCTTCCTCATACATTCCAGGGACAACTCTCTCCCCTCCCCGCTCCCGACCACCACCAGCACCACCACCACGCTGGCAATCAGCCACTATGAGACAGCAGAGCAGGCCTTTTTATTTTTGGTTTCTTTTTATTTTTTACAACTCAATATACTTTTAGAATGATATTGTGTAAAGAGTTATACAAGGATTTATTACATGGCCATCAGCACAGTAATTCCCTGAAAACTGAATAGGGCCAGATTTGGTACCTCTGAGGAGAAGTTGGCAAACAAAAAGTCAAGGTAAAATCAAGGATTGCAGAGATAAAGATTCATAACAAATTCTTGAAACATCTCTATGGCGAGGCAGTTGGACAGAATTTTGGAACAAGCTCTATTCTATGCCTACATGGCCTAGAATAAAGTATATGCAGCCTACCTTGTACTCCCAGTGTACACATATAGATAGCTGCAAGATATTATTTTGTTAAATAGAATAATATTCAGGCGCTTTTTTTGCCATTGCTGGGAACGGTTATAAGAATTTACAAAAGTCATGCCCTACATGATTTATCTGCCTTGTTTAAAATGCAAGTTTTCTTGCTTCTAAGGAGTTACCAGTTACAGTGAGAGTAGCACAAGTATGTATATGTGCATTTAGACATTTATTTATTTATTTATTTATTTTGATTTATATCCCGCCCTTCTCCCAAGGGGACTCAGGGCGGCTCACAACATATTTAAAAACATAGACATATTTACAACCCCCCACCGGATAAAACCAAATTAAACCAATATTTAGAGTTGTGCAGTTAAAATTATTCTTAAAAAACCCGATTTAAAATCCTCCCTAGGCCAGGCCCGCTTGCTGAAAAAGCCATGTCTTGAGGGCGCGGCGGAAAGTAAGGAGATCCGGAATCATCCGGATCTCGGGGGTAGTTCGTTCCAGAGGGTGGGGGCACCCACAGAGAAGGCCCTCCCCCTGGGGGTCGCCAGCCGACACTGCTTGGCCGACGGCACCCTGAGGAGACCCACTCTGTGGGAGCGTACCGGTCTATGGGAGGGAATCTGNCTAATAGTAATGAAAGTCTTGCACATTCTATCAGTTTTTAGGCTAGATCTTTATGTTGCTGACAAATAATTTCCTGGAAAGCAATAATATGTTTTGAGTTATATGTGGAATACCTTAACCTTAGTTAGCAATGATTTCTGCATCTTAGTAATTACATAGTAACATGCAGGCTATTACGTCAATGTGTGTGTGCTTGTAATAACTCTTTTGGCAGAATCATATATGAACAATTTATTATTTATTAACCATATTTCTATCCTGTCACAATCCAGAAATTTAGCAGTTTACATAAAATAAAATATTTATACTTTAGTTTGATTGAGAAGTGCCTGACAAAAGCTCTTCCATTACATAGTTTGTTTTCTAGCTGATTCTTATACATTTTTTATTCCAATGTTTTACTTCTTTGCAGATCAAAGCTTTTGATAATATACACTTCCAGGGATCATGTATTGATTTTACAACAGAAGCTGCTGATTTTACATCATTCATGCCACTCTCATTTAAGGTTTTACGGGGATGGTGAGCTGATTTATGCATACTTTTTTAAGCATTTTGGAAAACTATTTCAATCTGTTTCTGTGATTTAGTTCCTATACATTTTAAACTGTTTTGAAGTATTTCTCTCTTACAATAGAGAGAACTGATAAGTGTCTTATATAGTTGTTCTTACATGTAGTCAAATTTATACCATATTTAAGAAGCAGATTGTGTAGTGGTCTTATATATGACTACAAACCCTGAGCCTTATACATCATAATGAGGCCTGATGTAACACATAATGTGATCAGACAAATTGTTAGGCATAACAGAATTATATGGTTGATTATGTGTCAGTATATTCTTCACCATTGTAACTGAATCCATCCATCTTGCTGCTTGTCTCTTTCATCTTTCCCAACATTATGGACTTAACAAGGAAGATGGGTTTTTACATAAGGTCTCTAAAATTAAGTCTGGTCACTTGTGCCTTTTGTTTTCTTAGCTATCCATATAGTATTCTCAGGAATCTTCAACACAAAAGTTCAGAAATGTCAGTAGGCTTTCTGTCTTGTTTCTTCAAAGTCCAACTTTCACTTCCATAGGCTGTTAGAAGAAAAATCATTACTGAGACAATTCTGATCTTAGTAGGGATACACCATAGCATTTGAATATCTTTTCTAAGATTTTCATTGCTATCCTACAAAGTGCTAGTCTGTAAAATATTTATTGATTTCTGGTTCCTTTATTGTTGATAGCTGGTCTTAAAAAGCAGAAGCTAGTTTGATATTTTTGATATTTTCATCGTCATTTCTAAGGCTGTTAGTTGTATCAGTTGTCATTAGCTCCCTTTTCTTTATATTTCATCGTTTTTTCATTGTGCTTCTTTATATGCTAAACCTTGCAGATAATTTGCATTTTCAGAATAGTGTCTTCAACAAAGCTGATGTTTCTTCCTTCAATTTAAAAACACATTCATCTTCTTTCACTTCAGCTGCCCTCAGTATAGATTCAGCATATAGGTTGAATAAGTAAGGAAACAGTGTATTGCCTTGCTGATCTGAAATGAGTCTTTCATTATGTTCCATCCAGATTGTGGCTTCCTATCCTGTTAGAGATTACACATGATAAGAGTGAGTTATTCTGGAATTGCCATTTCCCCAAGTGCATAACACACCTTGAAGGTTTTTTTTAGAATCAATGAAGCATATATTATTTTTGCTGTTCTTTGGCTTCTTCAGTTATCCAGCTGAATCAGCAATAATGTTTCTCAGTCTTTTCTAAAACCAGCATAATCATCTAAAATCTCTCTTTCCACATAGTGCTGTAAGCTGTGTAAGATGATTATCCTCTTTATTTTACTAGCATGTGAAATAAAAGATACTGTACGATAATTTATACAAACTGTTAAAGCTTCTTTCTATAGTATTAGTATGTAGACTGATTTCCTGAAATCCGTTGGATGCTATCATTTTCCAAATTTGTTGGCCTAGTTTGCAGTGCAAATTCTTCTTTTGTTGCTTACCATATTTTTTTAAATATTCCAATGATTTCTGCAACATCTGACCTGGTGAAAACCAGAGTGGCAAGTTAATTTCATTTTCTAGAATTAGACAGAATCAAAAACTTTCTTCAAAAGTACCACGGATGTTGACATATCTGCCATACACAATTTTAGTATATTCCTTTCACCTTTGTTTGTTGTTTTCAAAATCAAATATTGAAACTTCTTTGAACCAATTATGTAACAATAATATAGTTACTGTGTATTCCATTTAGTGGTGACCATAATATAGGCAGTTTTATAGGTTTTACATTATTTTGCTTGGATGATTACTTTAGCAATGAAGAAATAATTGATTTGTTGGAAACTTCTAAGTTGTTCTGCTTTATTTCTGCTTGCTAGGCCGTATAGTTTAACTACTTTTTCCTTCTTAGTGTTTCCAACTTTGGCATTCTACCCTTCAGCCATGAACAGCAACATTTTGCTTGTATATTCTATCAGTTAAGATTTAACTCGATAAAAGTTATCAGTCTTCTTTTTCTATCAGTGGTTGAGTCATAAATTTGAATAACCATAGTAATAAAGGATTGCCTGCAAAATCTAATTGATATTATTTAGTCATAGAGTGAGTTGTAGCCAAGTATTGCTATAATCCTTCCTGACTTTGAAAGCCACGCCATTCTTTGTTTTGTGATCTAAGCAGTAAACAAAATGATCTTCTGACTGAAAGTTTACAATTCTTCCAGTTCAAGTTGTTGATTCCTAAGATTTGTAATATTTTGTTTCATCTTTCACTGTGTTGAGTTTCTTAAGTTCCATGTTCCTACTGTAGTTCTATCTTTGCTCTTTAGATTTTCATTCCCTGTATGTCAGCATTAGCAACTGGATATCATGAGGGCTTTAATCTAGCCACATGATAAACACCATTAATACTCTTCCTCAGTGGCATGTTGAGGGCCATCCAACTTGAGGGGCACATAATGCAGCACTATGTCATCAACCATTTTATATTTTTCATCCAGGTGGGTTTTGTGATAAAATACAAAAGTTGTATATTATTGTCTTCTGCATGTAATAAGAAATTATGCCTGTTGCACCGTCCCTAAAGTGATCCTCTGTCTTTAGCATCTTCCTGTATTGCTGCTGCCCAATATAGGTGGCTGCTTGCCTTAACTAGGCAGCTGGAATAACTTTAATGCCTTAAAGTTGCTGGGAGTATATACTCTTGGCATATAGTCCTAGCATTCTTCCTCATACATTCCAGGGACAATTCTCCCCCCTCCCCCCTCCCGACCACCACCAGCACCACCACCACGCTGGCAATCAGCCACTATGAGACAGCAGAGCAGGCCTTTTTATTTTTGGTTTCTTTTTATTCTTTACAACTCAATATACTTTCAGAATGATATTGTGTAAAGAGTTATACAAGGATTTATTACATGGCCATCAGCACAGTAATTCCCTGAAAACTGAATAGGGCCAGATTTGGTACCTCTGAGGAGAGGTTGGCAAACAAAAAGTCAAGGTAAAATCAAGGATTGCAGAGATAAAGATTCATAACAAATTCTTGAAACATCTCTATGGAGAGGCAGTTGGACAGAATTTTGGAACAAGCTCTATTCTATGCCTACATGGCCTAGAATAAAGTGTATGCAGCCTACCTTGTACTCCCAGTGTACACATATAGATAGCTGCAAGATATTATTTTGTTAAATAGAATAATATTCAGGCGCTTTTTTTGCCATTGCTGGGAAGGGTTATAAGAATTTCCAAAAGTCATGCCCTACATGATTTATCTGCCCTTTTTAAAATGCAAGTTTTCTTGCTTGTAAGGAGTTACCAGTTACAGTGAGAGTGGCACAAGTATGTATATGTGCATTTAGACATTTGAGGGTAATTATTTCTTCTGAAGTTATCTGTGTTCAATGTACTATGACCATCTGCCCAAAGGACTGAATTTAATGCTTAAAACACCAGTCGTTCTTTAGATACCTTTGAAGTCTTTAACACCGATCGGTTCTCGAAGGGATCAGATCATATTGTCAACGATAATATCAGCGATCCCGACGACGTTGACGATATAAAAAGTGAAAGGTCTACGACATCTTCTTATAATTGTGTAAACTATTCTCATCTAGGACGATCTAATTAATTAGTCAACTTAATATTTGTAAAATTGCTTGGTATGGTTTGCATGTTAGGCTCCAGAAAACTGAAATCTGACTTTTTCAGTCTGAAGATCATTATTGAATGACTTTAATTTAATTAATAATAGCAAACCCTTTAAAACTATAAGTAGTCTGTTAATTGCATTTGAATAACAGCAATTATAGGGACTCCAGTTCACTGCTTTTTGCTAATTTAAAAGTTCAGATCTAAGGGCAATCTGTCAATTTTTGTGTTTTCAAAGAGCCTATTTGAGATTCTGCAGATAACAATGCAATCGTTAACAACTCTGTCAGTGTCATTGAAATACATAATATTGAATTGCACGTTTCTGTCAGTGCTAGAGATATGATGATGATTAAAATAGTACTTTCACAACTGCTGCAGAGTTTTCTCTCTTCCATCTCCTAAATGGAAGTAATACCAGAAATAGGGAATTCTAGGAACAAGGCCATTTGAGAAGTTCATCAAGGGCATTTGGAGATGAATGCTATCCATGACCACATTTATTTTTTGTTTCTACACATCAATCCATCAACATGTAGTTGTAATTCATAATAATAAATCTATATTTCTATGCTATGCTATTTTATTTGGTAAAAACCAATACAACTTCATGTGGAATTTTTTTTTCTTGTCTTTCAGTTGGTTGCTTTATTATCAGGGAAAAACTGCTGTTGAACAGTGTGTTCTAGAAGAAGATCTCTATCCTGACCTTGCTTCCTGTGGCTGTTCAGCAACTAAAGTCCAGTCCCTTAAGCCTGTTGACCATGTAAGAACTTACCAGCTAGCGATATTCAGAAAAGCCTTGTACAGTCCAAAATGTGGTGCCCTCAAAAGAATATAACCAAGCAATTCTGGTTCTGATTTATATATTTTTAATTTTACAAGAGTTGAGCCATACACTTCTAACAAATATTAGTAAGAAGCCACATTTACCCATATAAAGAAACTTTTTATTAAAAGAAAAGCAGTCCAGTAAAGGATTTACACAACTTGACAGAGATCTTATATTGAAATACTATCCATATATAGGGTCACATAGTTGTAGTAAAATTATAAAGGAACTACCTGTTTCTTATATGGATAGTTTACTTACTATAAAAGAAATAATAACCACTGGAGCAATATGGACAGATTCATAAATTAAGCTAAACTAGGCAGTTTAGCTATATAAATTTGGGGTAATTCCGTTTTAAAGTGAGGGTAAATAGTAATCAAGAATCATTTAAAATGTTATGAAGCATTTAGCTCAATAAAATTTAATTTACTTAAATTTTATTCTTCTAACATTCTATCAGGAGACTTTATAATAATTTCCATCTTCCAAAATTACTCTCTTAAGAGGTAGATACTATTGTAGGTTTTAGGGAAGATAGATTTGATCACATACTTATTTCTTTCGTTTTGCATTCTCTTATAGTCTCTATGTTCTTTTGAAAAGGAATTTCTTCATTTTTAAGGTACCTGTGGAACATAATCATGAGCCCATAAGAAGTAATAAAATTCCTTTTAGATATTTTAAAATTACGATTGAATCTTGCTTCCTATTGCCCTACCCTGTCCTGTTGGGCTTCTCTGCAGTGTCAGGCAGGGCAAGCAGTAGCAAAGCACTGGACTGAGAAGTGCACTATACAACCATGCTAGGTATTTTTCAGACATTATGTGCCATTGCATAGAGATATAGGGAAAGGATTAAACTAAGAACTGTTTTTGCTCTGTGCAGCTTTTTGGTACTTTTAGGTGTCAAATAAAAGCATTCTTACAGGAGCTTAATCAGATGTTTCCTGCTTTCACTCAACACTATAGCAAGTTCTAAGGAAGTAGGTGAACTTATCTCCAGGACTGCCTTTCCCTGAGGGCATTTGCTCATTTTCTACATTGGGCAGAATGGGCACATTCCATGTCCCTTCTCTCTCTGGGCTTAGACAGGGTGATATACCTTTTCTGTAGCAGCTCCTGCCCTGTGAAAAACCATTCCCTTTGAGATCCGACAGGCCTCCACTGTCTTAACATTCCAGAGGGCCATCAAGAGCCGAGTTTTCCTCAAAGCACTGGTAAAGTAAGATTTGGGCCTGGGGGATTGTACAGCTGGATGAGTGTAGTTGTTGGATTGGGCATTGTTATTCTTGTTTCTTGTATGATATTTATCATTATGTTTTTATTGTTATTAGTCATCCCAAATCTTGTGTCATAAGATGTAAGCTATTTTGCCTCTTCTAACTTTGTAATGTTCCCAGCGTTGAGCTGTCACGGTTCACTTTTTAGTTTCATTTTACCATCCAGCACAAAGAGAAGTAGTTCCAAGCAAAATTTAATTCATCTCCCTCCTAGATATCTCTTTAGAGTGCACTGCTGTGGTAGTGTTCAAGATTAAAATATTAGTTCCCTTGATTCAAATGCTTTAATTTTTCCAACATGAATAGCAAGGGGTGAGTGTCGTATTTTTAAACACTCTTTCTAAAGTATAGATAAATAAAGTATAGATAAATAATAAGGTGGTGGATGCTGCTAGGAAAAATTATACAACCATTGAAGTTGTGTCAGATTCATGCCCATTCAAGAAGAAAGGAATAATGTGGATATTAACCCTTCAAGGTAGATCAGACTAGGAATCCAATGTAATGTACGTCAGTGCTATTTTTATTCTAAAGCTTTAATAATAGAATCTTGCAAATCTGAATGTGCTTTTCACCTCCCTGTCTCTATTTTCTTGAGAACTAGAGAGGGTCTTGTCTGAGATATTTACTCATGTTACTTTCTTACCTCACACTCAGTCCTTTTTTATTTCACCATTGTCTTGGTAGCACCTCTTTCTCCTGTCTCTCAAAGCCATTTACTTGTCCCTCTACAATAGATGAAGGAAAGGGTAGTTACATAGATTTCTGAATTATTCTTTCTTATGATCTTATGTATGGCATACCTGTTCCATTTTGAAGTTGTTTTTATATTATGTCTCACAAAGCAGAAATTGTTCCAATATAAAGGTACCCAATCTGAGATTCAAAAATCTAGATTGCAGTAGAGACAGAGAAAATTTTCTTGGGGTTGTCTGATGTTTGCATAACAGATCTGCAAAATCTGTTACACAAGTAGGAAATAGCAGCCCAGAGAAATAATTCTAGAAAAACAAGTTATCACCATGTAATATCTATTTTTATGAAGAAGAATCTAAGAAGTATTCTTTTAAAATCTTTCAAGCTTCTTCTGACTTTCTGATAGATTGTTTGTAAAATCTCTAGCATTTGTAACAATAAGAACAAAATTACATGGTGTTACAAAATTATTTTGTTATGTTCAACATTCCATGGTTACAAAATGGATAAGGCATTATAGACTTACTCATAATAATGGACAATATATAATATCTGAGTAAAACAATGTCATACTTTCAGAATAAAGGATAGCTGAAATGTTGCTGAACAGGATACACGTTAACTTTTGTGCTGTGTTAGCAGATAATTACAATTGTGCTTAATTGCTTTAAGAAAAAGTGTGAAAAGGCTTTCCTTGGTTTTCACCATTGTACTACATTAATATTGTCTATTGTATTTTAAAATATTTTGAAAGTTTTTTTTAACTTTCACAAATTAATAAGTTAATTTGCCTTATCTCATCCCTTGTGTATACATAGGGCATCTACTTTGGAGAGCATAGATAAAAGGGGATAATAATGATCACTTTGAAAAATTAGGTTTTTTACAGGTGGTCCTCATTTAGTGACTGCAATTGGGACCCGTTGCTTGGTCCTTAGGCAGAGCAGTTGCTGAATGAAACCCTAGCTGTACTAATGAACTTACTTCAGCTTTCCTTTGCTTTACAGACCTGTAAAGGTCATAAATCTGAGAAATGGTTGCAAAGTGACTTTTTATCATAACTACCAACAGTTGTTGTACAAAACAGTTGTCAAAAAAGCACAGTAGTTTCTGTTTTCTCTTTTAAAAAAGTGTTTTTTTCTGGGCCTTCTATTTATTTTGCTATTGCAATTGGCTTAGATTCATATTACAAGATATCTTCTTCTTAAAAATGTATTAGAACATCTAAAAACTGCAAAGAAATTGGCAGAGGGTTAGGGGAAGCTGTAATGGAAAATAAAGGCCCTTGGGTAAAGGATGCATTTTTCCATATTATACTTCCAAAACAACTAGTCTATCGGAATGGTGTTCTTCTTGGTTGTTGTTGTTTTTCCTCAGGTGGTTGGGAGGTAATGTTAGATGTTAAAACACTCAAAGCAATAATGCAAAACACTTTTTACTTTTGTGCACAATTATACCAAATCTGGGTCAATGTAAATAAAAAATATTACCCTTATTTGTTTAAGGCGGGGGTAGGGAACCTTGGCTCTTTTATGACTCGTGGACTTCAACTGAGCAAGCTGTGCTGGCTCAGGAATTCTGGGAGTTGAAGTCCACGAGTCATAAAAGAGCCAAGGTTGCCTACCCCTGGTTTAAGGAGTTGGCAAATTGGTTCTTTCGCCTGTGTCGTTGTACAAAATTTAAAAGGTAAACAAAATATAATATTTCAGTCGGTATACTTAATTGAATTTACTTACTATGGAGTTCATTTATAAACAAAATTCATTCAGTCAAGGTATTTAATAGGGGTGACTATCAGTTGACCTCTTACAAGGAATTCACATTACTTAATTATTTCTGTGATTACAGCCAACGTTTAATTAGTTTGGCTTATCTACTGTTGGTATGAAGATGTTTTGGCTCCATATCTACTTGGATGCCAGTTCCCACAACTCTCTGCCTTCATATCTGATTTTAAGAGTTGAAATTCAACATTTGACTATTATATATTCCCTGTCTTTAAATCTATTGGATCTGAGATAATTTTCCTTGGAGAATTGTTTTTTTAATTCAATTTTCTTGTACTAAACAATGTAACTAATTAGGACTTGTATGTACTGAATTATTTCAGAAGATTAGGGTCTTTGTCCCACCTTTGTATTATTTTAAAGACACTATAGAGATAGATGTATGAAAGTCCATTTTGTAAGATTTCAAGATCAGCAACTAGAATCACTGTTTATCTGTTTATCACTTACAGTAAATTGCCTAGACCTAGTTGATTAGGGAACTCAACAAATAATATTAAATAGGTGAGTAAATTAGTACTGATTTTGGTTACCATGATTGATGCTAATTTTGGTTTATTGATTAAAATTTCAGAAATATAATGAAGCCAAAGTTATTTTCTAAAATAAGCATCTCCAAACCAAGGAAAAGCTTCATCACAGATGAAGAACCAAAGAAAATCTAAATATAACTAACCAACGCAGTATTAATCTTTTACTTTCTTCCAGGTTTTTGCTGAGCCATTGATCAGCCTTTTTGCACTGGAGAATTGTGAAGGCAAAGAGCTACACTTGCAAGAAGCTACCAATTCAATTCTGAATAAAGATTTTCATTTTCTTACTCAGTCAATATGGGTAAAAAGTGGCATGTAAGTATGATAATGATAAGATAAAGTACTGAGAGTTTTATTTCTTTGCTCACTATGGAAAAATCACATACTCACATAGGTAAATATACTTACTTTTTATTTAAAACATTTATATAGCTTTCCATCTTATATCCAATCTAGATGGCTCTCAATCAACAATTTAAATAACATATTAAAACAACACAATACATACATCCATTAAAACCATAAACCATATACATTAAAAACCTGGCACCAAAGTTAAGCTTCCACATGCAGTCCATTGTTGAATCCTCTCATCCACCTCACTCTATCCCAACACTTAGAGGAAAAACAAGGTCTTAAGTGCTTTTTGTAAGGTTAGGACAGGGGTAGGCAACCTCAGCTCTTTTATGACTCATGGACTTCAACTCTCAGAATTCCTGAGTCAGCCATGAGTCATAAAAGAGCCGAGGTTGCCTACCCCTGGGCTAGGGGGATAGAGGCCTGTTGAACTTCAAGCAGAAGGGTGTTCCATAAGGCAGGAGCTGCCATGAAAATGGCAATTTCCTAGATCCCATAAAATGGCAATGGCAATCCTGGGAATCTGATCTTGTCCAGTAGGGTGGGACAAAACCTTTCAGGCAATTGTTATATTGCCAAATCAATGCATTTATACATCCCTGTTATTTGGTTACCATTATCAGCCTTGTAAATAGGCAGAGATAGCTGAGCTGGTGGGAAATATGTGAGTCCTTATTTGGAGAATGAACCCAATTCTCCTTTAGTGTTCTTTAAATCTATATAAATAAAAATGTAAATGTTCATTTGTTCAAAATCTTAAATCTCCGAAAGTTCTTCACCGATTGCTTTGAAATTTTGACACAACGTTGCATTCGAATACGCGCATGTTTTTATATACCTACTATTATATAGATGTCACACTTGTGACAGGTAAAACATGTTTTTGAAAAACAGCACCATCTGTTGGACGTAAAAGCAACACACGCTAGCATTGTGAAATTAAACATATTACAAACGTGCGCTTTCTCTTTTCTTTCTTTTCCATTTAACCAGACTGAGCCACAGCAACGCGTGGCCAGGTACAGCTAGTTTTATCATAAAATTCCTCCTGAAAATCATGATGTTGTTTCTTTCTAAATTAATTTCTATGTCAATTATACATTAATAAGCAATGTTTAGATAGGCTTTACATAGGCTTTTGATCAAACAGCTTTACTTGTTCATAGTAGTAGTATTTCAGGTCAACTAATATTTTCTTATTCCTTTACAATCAGTACATAAGTAGCTCCTCAGCATTCCAGCCAGTGAGATTTCTCCTGACCCTAAACTACATTATTTTTGTACATGTCAATATTTTCTTCTGTTCCTTTGTCCTTAATTTTCATCTTATCTGTTTTGTTTTTCCAAATACTGATTTTATATTTATATCTTATATTATATTTTATCTTTTCAAAACAATTGTCAACATACTACAATATTGTATTAATACATGGATTATTTTGATATATGGCAAATATGTATGTAATATACCTACGTAGACCATTTTGAACTCAAAAAATTATTCCATAGTTGCAATTTAAACTGAGGTACATTTTTGTATTTATCTTTTCAAAATATTTACATAAAATATATGAACCCATCATTGCACTAGATTTTCATATTTGATTACATTCTATGTTTCTTTTCCATTGATCTAAGCAACAAGAATAATGTTTCAAAACTAAGTTATCTTATTTTGCAAAACATCAATATCAAAACTGGTTCATATTAAAATAAAAATTTAGACTTTATTTTTGGAATCGAAAGTTTAACACAAAATTGCTCTGGGTATTTGTGTCCTTAGGTAACTTGAACTATGACTATGAATGAATGGAATTCATAAGAATAAATTATTTTCTGAATCAGGAATAATGTGTTATTTAAAGTACTTGATTAAAGTGATAAACTTTCCAGTAGAAACAATTTCATATTATTATATTTTCCAAAAAATGAATTGACACATAGTAAAACATATGTAACTGTAGATATGATAGTTTCACAATAATATATTAAGAAATATTAAAAATGAAAAATAATTTGTAATTGTTTTGTTTTATCTTTCAAGCAAGGTGGAATTAGCAAAAATGTGTAGTTAAATTGCAGCTTTAAATAAAGCTTCTGACCTGAAAAGCATGAAGTACGCAATCTTATTTTAGGATAATCTTAACAATATGCAATACAGTAAAACTTGATTTGCAACTGCTACAGTATTTATGGTGCAATAACTTTTAGCAGCCTAACTGGAAGCAGTAAAATAAATTGTAAACTTATAATTTATCATAATATCCTTATTGTGCCTTAAAAATATTATGAATTAAAGAAACAGTACAAAAAAGTGATTGTCTGCCTTTATGCTATAATATTACCATATATAGTATTTTTACTCACATAAGAGACTGTACAACACTATACAGATATGCTGATTCTAAGTGTATGGTCTCATACATCTGTATACAAGCACTTTGCCTAAAAATATTTAAAAGTGTTAAGTGAATTATTGATGTGCCCTTTGTAACATGAGGCTTCATATTTAACTAATCATGACCATAGCTTGGATACATTTAAGAAATCTAGAGTCTAGAATTTTCTAAATGATTTTCTTTGAAGTTAAATATGAAAGAAAAGTTCCAGAGTTGAATGGTATCTTTGCCACTACTTTTTCGTCTCAACACAAGTAGGGGAAACTTGTAAAAACAGCTGTAGTAAAATAAACAAACAACTACAAATAGTCCTCAATTTACAATAACAATTGAGCCCGAAATTTCTATTGTTAAGCGAGACATTTGTCAAGTGAATTTTGCCCCATCTTATGACCTTTCTTGCCACAGTAAGTGAATCACTGCAGTTGTTAAGTTAGTAACAGTTAAGTGAATCTGGCTTCCCCATTGACTTTGCTTGTCAGAAGGTCACAGAAAGTGATCACATGACCTCGGGACACTGCAACCATCATACATATATATGAACCTGCTGCCAAGAGTCTGAATTTTGATCATGTGACCAAGGGGATACTGCAACTCATAAGTGTGAAAAACAGTTATAAATCACTTTTTTTCAATGCCATTGTAACTTTGAATGGTCACTAAACGAATGACTCTCAGTCGAGGACTACCTGCAATTAAAAAAATAAAACTTTCGCATTGTGTATGAATTTTTGCCATAATAAAATATGAACATGCTTAAATTGTTTTCTTTTCTGTTTCTGGAATTCAGCATACTGTACTTAATGTATATTCCATTTTGAAACAGATGGATTGCTTATGAAGGATGCAATTTCTTGGGGAAACAGTTTCTTCTTGAATCAAGCAAGATTTCAAACTGGACACAGTTTAGTGGATGGAAAGCAATTGGCTCTCTTCGTCCCATAAAGCAGGTACTAGAGCAAAAGTGATTTTTCCCCCCCTAAATCTGAATTTGAGGTTTTTGGATGACAACCCCTGAAAATTGGTAAAGTGAGTTCTTGCGATTTTAAGGCTAAAAATACACAGATCTATCTACAAAGCCTACATTAGCATTTTATGTACACTTGGAAGCATGAAATTAAATAAACGTTTCAGTACTGTTCAGGAGTAGTACTATGATTAAATATGGACTATATTAAAGTACAGATTGATGGATGTATAACTAGAGTTTAGTATCTATCTCATAAATATTGTAGTAGAAAACCATAATTACAGGTTTCAATCAGCAAAACAGTGTGACTCCAAATTCTTCTTTCCACAAATTTTTCCCACAAGTGTACAGTCCTTTTTTTTCAGACCAAGCAACTATTAACACATTGGTTGTGACAGGAATTGATCAACTAGCTTGTCACCTAAATCGGACATTATGAGCTGAGATAACGTGACTGACCCAGTCACCCAGCCAGCTTTCTTGCCTTAGACAGGACTCAGTCTCCCGCTTTCTAACCTGGTGCCTTAACCACTATGACAAATTACTTCTCTAATTTAATCCCAAATATCACTCTTTATGCTCAATTTGGTACCTCTTTAGAAAATTCAGAATAACTATCAGAATGAATTGAAACAATTCCTAACAGTTATGGAGCCTATCCTTGTTGTTCAAATGCTATTGAAATACTGGTACTAATCCAATACTTTACCCATCGCATCCCATTTGTTCATATATATGAAATTTGAATATGAATCTACAAATAGTCTTCAACTTGAGACAACTGGGACCAGAAAATTTGTCATTTAGCAACATGGTCATTAAAAGTGACATCACCTGACCACACCTAATTTTATGGTCCTATTTGCTGCAGTTGTTAAGTGAAAAATCACATGCTTACAATTTGCTACCTTCTCTGCCAGATTCCCCATTGACTTTGCTTGTTGGAGGCTAGCTGGGAAGGTGTGTGATCAAGATCACAGGATGCTGCAACCACTGTAAATATGAACTGGTTGCTAAGCATCCAAATTGTGATCCTATGACTGCAGTGGTGGTGTAACAATTGTAACTTTGAGGACAGGTCATAAATCATTTTTTTCAGCACTGTCATAACTTCAGACTAATTAAACCAATCATTGTAAGTCAAAGACTATCTGTACTATTAGAGGAAAAGGTTCTGTCCATACAAGTTTTATCATATGGATTCATGCTTCTTCATGAAGTATTAGTTAATTATGCTTTTCTATTTCAGCCAGCAGTGTATTTCAAAATAAAGAACAGATCTCAAGAAAAATACTTGACAGTTGCTGGCACTTTAATGGACGGAAGAGCTTCGTCAGTATGTTTGTTCCCACAAAATGGCAAGAATACTCAGATTTGGCATTACAGTCGTGGACTCATCAAGTCCAAGGTAATTTCTTTACTTATCAAATTTATATAGCCGCCCATCTCAACTTCTAAGCAGCAGACAAATTACAATAAGAGCAGGGCGATTAATTGATTTTCAGCCCCTCCTTATTTACTAGCTTCTTATCTACTGAATGTTTTAAACCCATGTTTCATTGCACTTATAGTCTGCTGTGACTTTTAACTGCAAGTTCTTTAGGATAAAATTGCCCATATTTTAAAAGCAAATGAAAGAAATCTTTAGAGTGTTTATAATAACTTTCATGGAATACCAAATTATTTCACTTCTAAGAGTTTCAGAAATATTCATTCTGAATGTGATCATTATAATGGATATATTTCTAGATTAAAAAGTTCCCTAAATTGTTGGTATTTTTTCAAAATGAGAATTTGCTTATCTATAATTCTCTACCAGCAGGTCAATCTGATGTGAAAGCAGATTTGAAGCAATTTCAAGAACCTATTACATGTGCTTATTCTTTTTATATATTCCAGGAATATTTATCTATTAGATCTATATCCTCCAAATAATACACAACTCACTGTCCTCTAATGTTTCTTCACAACTATTATGAGATTTTGCTGTGAGGTAGAGACCCAAAGGTAGACTTGAATCTCATCTCACCACTCTTAGTCCAACACTTTCACCTCTCTAAAAATCTATAATCAGTTCTACTATACACAGAAATTATTTCAAAGGTAAATTAGACAAATTATTAGGAATTCTGAATGTGTTTAGACTCTTAAAAAATACAGTAGGAATTGTTATTTATGTACCAAATCAAATTTCTCCCTATCCTTTGCTGCTACACAATTGAAGGAATATTCTTTCACAAACTGTTTGTCTAAAATTATTGTTGCAGGATCCAAATTATTGTTGCCGTCATTTGTGAAAAGTATTGTTCTTGTAAGTGGAGTATGAAGGATAAACTATGTTTTTGAAAATAAATATATTTTTTAAATTTCTGGCGTAATTTATACATAACTCTTAATACAACTAGTCAAATTTAGACCACTGATAGAAGTTTATGTATAATTAAGCCTTTTAAGGCAATAAGAAAATTCACTTTTTTCTCTACTTATCTAGATCAATGATGCTTGCCTTGATGTCATTGGAGGCAGGGATATACCTGGAGCAAAAGTTGCACTGTGGGCAGAACATGGAAAACCAAGACAGAAATGGACACTCAATAAAGATGGAACCATCACATCTTATCTCAGTGATCAGCTTGTTCTTGATATTAAAGGTAGTAGCATAGAAAGTCTGCACACCCGTTAAAATGCCAGGTTTTTGAGATGTAAAAAAAATCAGACCAAGATAAATCACTTCAGAATTCTTTCCCCCTTAAAATAATATACAAGCTGCAAAAGTCAATTGAAAAACAAACTGAAATATTTTAGGAGAAAAAATAACAATAAAAACTAGAATAATGTGGTTGCATAATTGTTCACATCCTCTTATAAGTAGGGATGTGGGTGTGTTCATAATCACATTCAAACTGATGTTAAATAGTAGTACCTGCTATCAACTTATATAAAGTTCAGCTGTTCTAGCGGGATTTTTTGTAATTTAGTCAGTTGCCTCTTACATCAAAATTTATGGTCTGCAAAGAGCTTACAAAGCATCAGGGAGATGTCCCTATTGGAAGGTATCAGTCAGGATAAGGGTACACACAATTTTCCAAGGCACTGCAAGTGAAGAAAATATGGCATAACACAGACATTATCAAGAACTGGATGTTCCTTCAAAATTGATAAAAAAACAAAGCAGAAACTGGTTGAGAAGCTGCCAAGAGGCTTACAGGAACATTAAATTGGCTAGTGCTATATCATCTTAACCCATCCAAATATATTGCGATTTCAAGATAACTGCATTCATAAAGGAAACTTTATATCAAATGCTTGTCAAAGTGGGAAGATATTCAATGCAGCTTAGAAAAGGGAAAGGTATGATGTAAAAACAAAAACAATTTCATTCAAATCCTGAAATTCTGTTATGGTTAATTGATTTCTCTCGCCTACCCTCCTGTTTCTGAAGTAGAGTTTCTTTTCTTTAGAGCTGAAAAGTGAACCTAAAGTGATAATTTTGTAACATTTTTAAGGTACAATATTTTAAAGGATAAAATAAGTAATTTATTTCTTAAACTTCTCTTATAGGAGGAGATTACTATGACAGAAACCACATTATTGTAAATCAACTTAACATCAGTGAATGTACACAGAAATGGGACTTTGAAATATTATGAATGGATGTTCTCAAGATAAACTAATTTGAAAATATGTATTAAATTGTCTGAAAACACTTGAACTTCTGAAGACCCTTAGTATCGGTATATGTTAAAGATATACCCAAGACTGCCAAAGAATAAAAAACAGCTTATTTAAATTTAACCAAACTGTTAATTTTCTACTTTCAATAGTATTGTTATTCATAAAATATTGCAGGGTAATTTATGCCAAATGTAAATCTTAACAAGTTTGGGTTGTTGGTAACCAAAACCTAAAATGCAACTTTATAGATTATACCTTCACAGAACTGATGCATTGAAATATTAGAAATTTATACTATACTTTGATACAGTACCTTTAAATTGATTAAGAAAATGGATGAAATTACTTGTCAATCCAGTTTGTATTCTAACGTGATGAATTCTGTATAATTCTAATTAAAAGTTATAAGCATGTTAAAAATAACAAAAGGTCAAAAAAGTAATTGATCTCATTTATTTTTACAAATAGCCAAAACTGGCTAAATGATAATATGTGATTAACTCTTTGCTTAGTATTTTCCCAAATTATGTCAAACTTACACAGGCAAAGTCCTTATTTTTTTGGTGTGGATTCAAAATTCTAGTGTCATAGCGAAAGAGATTATAAAAAACCTATTCCTCCTAGGACTGCTTCTTCTGGAAAACTGATGGGAAGGCCTTTCCGTTGCTTTCAAACAAGTGGAACAAAAAGTTGGGAATCTTATCTGGTTTCTCCTTTGACAACTGAATATTGCTTAAATTTAGCAATTTGAATTGGTAAATCTTGTCATCATTATGAAGCAGTGTATCACAGCAGGAAATTTACCATACTGTTTACCTACAACTAAGGAAACATATGCAATTACTTATTATACAACTTATATCTATGCAGGTTTTTAAATTTTTTTATATATATGGCAGTGATGGCGAACCTTTTAGAGACCGAGTGCCCAAACTGCAACCCAAAACCCACTTATGCATCGTCGAGTGCCGGGTGGGCGTGGCCCATTGGATGGGCATGGCTGCGGTAGTAACGGCAGACTGGGTGGGACTAAAAAGTTCAATCAATCAATTCCAACTTTGCGAGATTTTTTTTTCCGCAAGAAGTTGAAATTGACTGAACTTTTTTTTTTTTTGCACACGGCGGCGGAGACCTAAAGCGAAAAGGTTTTATAAAACCCAGCTGAAGGCCTAGGACTGGGGTGACGGCGCACGTGCCCACAGAGAGGGCTCTGAGTGCTGCCTCTGGCACCTGTGCCATAGGTTCACCACCACTGATATATGGCTTCAAAATATCTACAGTATCTAGTAAAAGAAACCTAGTCAAAACAGAATTCAGATTAGGATTTTTCTTCTTTTTTCATCCTCAGATTTTCTTCTATCCATCATTTCATCTTCAATAATATTGTTTCACATAATTTGAATATGATTTAATTTAGTTTCTAGTATCATAACAAAAAAGTGTTTCTTGTAGTTTTTAGCTCCAGTTCAAAATAAAATACTGGAATAGTCCAAATATTCACAGCTATTCAAGCCCAACCATAGGCAGTGGTTGCAACTTATTTTGATTTTCATAACATCCATGGGTCTCTACCTCCTAACCAGAAGTTGTTTTGCCACAAGTCCAATCAATAAAAGCAGCTGTCAAGTTCCAAGATCCTAAAGTAAACCTTGATGTGTGTGGAGCCAGGGAAAGTATGAGGTACAATGCTGCTCAGCTGTATGAGCTACAACCCTGTAGCATTTTGTTGTAAAATAAAACATGTTTTTACTTTTTTCATTTATTTTATGTAACCAAGATATTGATATTTTAATCTAAAACATTTAATAGATGGATTTATATGTATACTAAAAAGCAATAGATATATTTGATAACACACCTTTTAAATAAATTGTTCTTTCCAGCAGTTATCCTTACTCCCTTTCTGATAAGATCATCTGATTCATCAATGTTATAGCTACAGCTCCAATCCTATGTCTGCTTTCTTAAAACTCCTATTACTACATAAAGCTGTAATCCTAAACATAAGAAAGCAAGACTAGAGATGAACACAGTGTCAATTATTTCTGAGAAAATATCTGCAAGATTGTACTCTTAGCATAATCAATGGAAGCAAAGTTAATTATGGAAGCAAACTGTATTTAATTAGATTTTTTTCTGGATATGCTGAGGATTATAGCCTTACAATGAAGTGATATCTATTCAAGAGATCATAAAATTATCTTTGAAAGAAATCTACCATAGTGCATTTTTAAGATACAGCCCAGTCTTAGACTAGTTGAATTCTAGTTAATAAAGGATTGTTTCAACATGGCGCTCTTTTCTGTTGATTTTTGGGAACAAGAACCATCATGCTTTTAAAAGGCATTTGGGAACTGTCACAGGGTCATGCCCTATATTTATAATGGCGATTAAACCACCCTAAGGTTTTATGGTTTTATTTGCTACTATTATACAGAACTTTAAAAAGAATTTTCTCATTTTGTTCTGTGCTAAAGTGAAATAATCCTTTAAAAATAGCACAAAAGGAAAGTTTTTATAAAGACAACTTCCTATTTTTTTTTAAAAAAAGAGATCACTAGGCTAGTTAACAAACTTTACCTCCAAATGACTTCATATATGGGGTGTATAACTAATTATCCATGCCATAAGTTGCACTATATTTTTCAAACCAACTTTGTCAACAAAGTAACACACATATTGAAGAAGAAAAAGGGAGACGTATTGGTGGCTTGGAACTTTAGACTAAAATATATGTAGATTCAAAACTGCATAGGGAATACAGTGAAAAGGTTTCCACTCAATGAAAAAGCAATCGAACACACTCCAACTATTCCCACACTGGGTTAAGAAGAAAAAGAAACTAAAAGTCATAATTTTCATTCTCCTGCTCGTGAGCTTACATGATTAGCAACATGCTGCTTCTGATATTCATGGACACAAAGATGCTACATAAATTGTAGAATTTTCTTAAAGAAATTTATTATACTGCAAGATGTTTATTAGAAATGTCTTGGCTTCATTCAAAGAACACACTACTATTCACAATATCAGATGACACTTTAAGAAGCAAATTTAATTAGCAGAAATAAACAACTGTATAAAGTCATCACTGACCCCCAACTATATATTTATCACCTTCAGTGGTCTTATTTTACACATTAAGAAATCAGGCAGACTCCTCCTCATATTTCAGATTCATGTTTTCATGCCTAAATTCATAACTATCTGGCATTTTGAAAAGCATCAGATGTTTCACAATCTTACTAAATGCCTAAGACTTCGTATGAGAGCCTTTTATGAATAATTTCTATGCAATATGCTTTCCCTGGTTATCAAGTCCTTGCTCATTAAGGTGATTTACCTTAATGTAATTTAGTAGACTCCTCTACACAAATCCAAAATATATAAGGTTTCATAACTGTGATGAGAATCTGCCTTTAGATTACTTCAACAAGGCATTCAGTCCACAATGATATCACTAAGTTCTCTTTTTCTGCTTCTGAATCAAGATTAAGGTCCTTAACGCAAACAGTATCACAGCTCCATATTTGTTTCAGTGCATCCATGTGAGAAAGAGGAAATCGTAATCCATGTGCCTTCTTAAAGAAGAAAAATGCTTGTTAAAAAAATCAAGTAAAATTAAACGTTACATATAAATTTACAGAACATATCAATATGTGCTCTGACCTAATAGTAACTCTATACACAATAGTTAGTATAACTAGTGTTTCAGTTGGCTAAGGCTCATGCTGGTTATAATTATTGTAGGAACCCAAGTGTCATGTATCAAGATGTCCCACAAAATTTATAAAACTATAGTGGAAGAGAACTATATGATATATGTGTTGTCCATACAAAGTACATTAACCCACAATTTTCTAAGTAACAGTTTGAAGACACTGGAATCACAAACTGCATTAAACCATAAATCAAGTTACAAAGACTACATCCATATAACATATCAAATCAAAATCAAACTACATTATGTTTAGGATACAGTATGCAATCATAGATCTAATTCTAGAAACTATTCCAAATGAGAAGAAAATGTGTAACATACTTGCAGAATGGTAAGACAAAATGATATAATAGAATGTTTATGAGAATTTTTTTTCCTGGAGTTTGGAGGGTTTTTTTTGTTTTGTTTTGTTTTTGGGGTTTTAACAACCAGTTGAAGAGAAACTAAATTTCTTTCCCAACTGAAATTACTTACACAAACTAATAATCTTCCCAACTTTATTCTTATAGTTTCATTTATTACATGTTTGCTCCTTATGCCAAAGAAGATTGGGTGGCATGTAGTGTTTTCCCATTTCAATTAAGAAAAAAATTAGCATCCAAAGATATGACTTACCAAGACTTCTGAGAATATTTCATTTGTGATCAGGAATTTGACAATAAAGTTTTCCAATCAAATGAAAACTGCTATAGTATGTAAGCTAACCAGCATACATTGATATACACATGTACATCAATGTATATACAAAACCATACTCCTAAATATTTGAGCCTGAAATAAGAGTTATTATTTCTATGCTCATCCTCTAAAAACGAAAGGGAACTTTCATATCCAATCAATTAATGAGACACCATCTTGTGTGCTTTTTTTGGTCATGGCACTCACCCTCTGGTACCTCCTGAGATTAGATTGGTCCCAAGTTTGCTGGCCTTCCAAAAGCATTGAAAACTTGGTTGTTTGACCAGGCATAGGAGTCAGACCTTAACGAGGCCAGGGTGATTTGTCATTGCTTTGTGACTGCCATCTCTTTTTTAATCTTTGATTATACATAGTGCTTTATAGTTATTTTTATTCTTCCAATTATAAATTTTCTTTGTCTCCCAAAGCCACTCTGGCAAGAGGGGTAGCCAAATAAATCAAAATATATAAATAAAGTAAGTATTGTTCCTGAGATCATGTATTCACACATAACATAAAGAAGGTGCATATATGGACTACATTTATCTACAAAAAGGGCTGAAGAGGAATCCAAGCAATTTGAAAAATGAAGGAAAATGAACTATATGAAATTTGTAGAAAGACACATGTAGTTAGTCCTCGACTTACAACCCATTCATTTAGCGATTGTTCAAAGTTACAATGGCATAGATAAAAGTGACTTATAGCTGAACATCACACTTACAACCATCATAGCATCCTCACGGTCCCATGATCAAAATTCAGGTGCTTGGTAATGGGCGTGTATTTATGACAGCTGCAGTATCCCGGGGTCACACGATCACCATTTGCAACCTTACCAGCCATCTACTGACAAGCAGATGTCAATGGGGGAAGCTGGATTCATTTGATAATTGCATTCACTTAACAATTGTAGTGATTTGCTTAACAACCATGGAATAAAAGGGTCATAAAATTGGGCATGACTCACTTAATAAGCATTTTGCTTAGCAACAAAAATTCTGATCTGAATTGTGGTTATAAGTCGAGGACTATCTGTACTCCTGACAACTGCAGAGAAAATATAGGCAACAATGCCATTTGAGAAGAGATATTTAGGATTTAAAAATAATAAAAAATGGACTGTAGCGCTATTAGATCTGCTAAACAGAAATAAAACCAACCTCTGCTATTTCTTCTTCATTCATATTCTCATCTCCCATCATATGGATCTCCCTTTTATTCTTTAAGCAGTGATAAACAAAAACCATTTCTCTGACTGAATCGTTCTGAAAAATCATAAAAAATATGTTTTTATACATTAGCCAGCTAGTATACAATGTAAAAGCATTTTCATACAATCATTTCTTCTCTTCGTGGCTGGGTGAATAACTAACTTTCATTTATTATTTGTGGTGATTCTTAATTATATTCAGTATTATTATTTTTTTACAAATTTAATGAGATTTCTGATCTTATCTCAATTCATATTTCAACTTTA